TTGGGGGGGGGGGGGGAGCGGAGCGGTGGTGTTTCTTCAGATTGAGTGTTGGTGAAAGGGAAACTGTGGCCTTTTTTGCGAGTGCTGGTATTTCTTCACAAGATTTAGGTTTGGGAGGGGGAAACTGTGGCCTTTTTTGTGGCCGTGGGGGGGTGACGGCGCAGTGAGTCCCTTCGCACCCCCTTCTCAGACGGTGGGGTGTCTTTCAAGAGGCAACAAGCAGAGCATGCAAATATATCCAGCTTGAAAAAGCAGAGCCTGCCTGCTTCAGGTTACCCGCCTGCTCCAGACTGCCTTGCTGACATGGAGAGTGCATGTGTTGCCAACATGTCAAGTGTTGGATGCAAGAACCTACGTCGGGCCTACGTATGATCAGCATACCGTTGCAGTTTCAGCGAAGCTTCTGAACATTCTGGCTCAGGTCGTTCGCTCACTGCGGATTGTTCGCTTCGTAGCGGCACTGCGTGCTTTGGTGTTATCAGTGGTGGACACCACGCGGCAGCTGGTCTGGGCATTGATCCTATTGCTGCTCGTTATATACAGCTTTGGCATCCTCTTCACCGATGCCGTGCTGGAGTACTTGTTCGCCGGTGCCAGCGAAGGTGAGGACACCACGGACCTGATGAAATATTTTGGCACAGTGTTTTCATCGTGCTCGACGCTTTTTCGGTCGATCTTGGGCGGCACGGACTGGGACTCTGCTGTCGATGCTCTGGTGCCCGTTGGCATGGCGTGGGTGCTGCTGTTCCACATCTACATTGCTTTCTGCGGTTTCTGGGACACGAAGTGGAAGCACATTTTTTGTGTTTGGCGGAGATCAAAGCCAATAATCTACAAACTGATATATACTCTAGATCTCCGGGTCCCTTACTGCCTACACCGAATTTGCAACTTGTATACATCCCGAGACATTTGGGTTCTTCCTGTGGGGTTCTCCCCGAAGGATTCGTTTCTAGTCGCTTTCGGATGGGTTTTCTGCGGGTTTTCAAAGACCTGTCTTTCGGATATTGAGTCGCATTCGACGTTTTCTAGATTCGGGTTTGGTGTTTAGACTCAGTTTACACCTTGAGGGTGGGAGTGGGGGGTGCAGGGGTAGGCGTCGGGCTTCCCTGTTGTCGTACGAAGACAATCCATGGTATACTTTTTTTTTGGTCATTGGTGTTTGCAACACTTTTGACTTAAGACTTAAGAGTTCTCAGGGAGTTGTTCTGCCGCCCATCCCCCGAAATAGTGCTAGTGCAGAAGTAGTTTGTCATTGTGATCATCAACCTCGGTTTCACATCACTTGTTTCATGGCTATCAGCATATCTCTCTCTTCTGTGCATGCGCGAGAATCGTTGTGTTTTAAATTACAAGCTGGCAGACATGTTTGGATTTCTTGTTTTGTGTGAGAGAAGCGGCATGTGCGTTTTCAGGATTTGCGGTGCTCAACGTCATGACGGGTGTGTTCGTGAATGCGATTAAGACGAGGGAGAAAGATCATGAAACATTGATGCAGAATGGTGTCCGCTTGAAGGATCTGGTCGCTAAGCTGTGGAGCAAAATCGATGCGACAGGGCTTGGGCAGATCACAATCTCCGAGTTCGAGACCATGTTCGAAGACGAGGCAATGCAGGCCTTCTTCGAAGCGATTGAGATCAAGGCCGTAGATGTGACTTGGTGATGCCTTCGTTGATTTTTGTGGCCCCCGTTGCATGAAACCCGGTTTCTCCAAAGCAAAGGCTTGGACGCTTTTTGACAGCTTGGATGTGGACGGGGACCACACCATCAGCATGGACGAGTTCAGTGAGAGACTGGGCGCTTGATTACAGAAGAAGCCCTGACAGAAACAGCAATAGAAGCAGCCTTGGCCGCTTGAAATTTCTTTGCTCAGTTTTCGTCTGGCCGAGGAGATGCCTGCAATTGCACGGTGCAGCCCGCAGCGTGGACTTGTCCCTCCGCTACAACGAGACTTTGCTGTTGTCTGCTTTGTTTTGCTTTGTCTTTTTGTCTTCCTTTTCGTTTCGTGGTTTCTGCGGTGACTTTCCAATGACAGAGGAGGGTCGCGAAGATGGGGGGGGGCTCCTTGAGGGTCTTGCATAGACGGGACTCTTGCACCGGGCCCTCTGTGGGTCGAGGAGAGCTGCAGAGTTCCCTAAAGCCTTTGTGTGCGGAGGAGAACCGGCAACGCCGAGAATGACAGCTTAAGTCTTGTCTAAGCATCGGCTGCTTTGGCCGAAGGTATGCGCTGAAGAAGCAGATGAAGAATCTCCAAGGCTGGTTGCAGCTGCACGCAGAACTACGAAAAGTTTGAAGGGTTCTACCATCAGAAGGGTTCCGGGCTACTGCTATCAGTGCCACATCCAGGATTCGTGCCTCTACCAGCCGTAATGCCATGTGATAAAGAGGGTTGCGATGACGGTGGTGGCGTTCATGATGATGGTGATGGCGACGATGATGGCGATGATATGATGCTGATGTTGACTATGATGATCTAGTTGCGTTGCTGCCTGGCTTGAAAGCATCGTGACGATCCTTTGCTTGTCTTCGGTTTCACACGTGCTGCTGCAGGCGCTCAGCAGCAGCTTGCAGAGCAATCTGCGCGGATTCTGATGCTTGGATGTGCATGAAAGTCCAAACTGGGCAATCGTGATCCTGATGCTTTGCTGTGCTTCTGGCAGCTGTTGCCGTCGCTTCTCCTCGTCATGCTTGCTCTCGCTGCTGCTAGTGTGGTTGTTACAACAGGAGGAACAACAACAAGAACACCAGCAGCAGCGGCAGCAGCAGCAGCAGCAGCAGCGGCAGCAGCAGCAGCAGCAGCAGCAGCAGCAGCAGCAACAGCACCAGCAACAGCAACAGCAACAGCAACAGCAACAGCAACAACAACAACAACACCACAATAATACCAATACCGATAAAACAGGATAATAGTAGTTATAATACTGTTAGATAGT